GAGGTACTGAGCAACTGTTCGCGATTCGGGTCCCAGCAGGAACACAAAAAAGGTAGATTGCTGATGAGTGCGACAGAGTTAGAACTGCTGTTTAGAGCTCTCTGTTGACTTTCACACAAGTTATTTTACGACCAGAATATGAGAATGTCCAGGACAACTATACTTCTAAGGAGTGCAATCTATACAAGCGCAGCAATACACATACATTGTGTGTTTGTGTGTGTGTGGGGGGTCACATCTAGGAAGGCAAGAACAAATGCATCTATCAACGATCTTGGCCGGATTTAGAAGAGTCGAAATGATCGCTAGCAGTAATGTGCGCTTTAACTAAGGAGAATATGTTTTCCGGCTTGCTCAATTGGAGTGCATACTGACTGTCTGCCTCTCTCCTTCCCCATTGTTGCAAAATANCGCTCACAACAGATTTACGAAACACATCTCCCTTGTTTTAAAGGTAATTATTTCATAATGTATCAAAGCATGATGAAGAACTTTACAAAAAGGATTATATTTCATTATTTCATCTGTTTTGGGTGCATTTGCCTAATGTAATCTTTCGGGTAGACCAGTTTAGTTCACTGGTAAGAAATTTATCGATATGCTCAACTCGGTAATGATCGTATCAACCTCCTACACAATTGATTGTGCAATTGCTGATTGACAGATAAACATGCAACAAAAATACGATTTAAGTATAAAACAAAACGAAACCAGTGTACATGAAATACTCTCCCCGGGACTTACATCACTCAAAAAACATTTGAATTTGTCATCCTCGACTGACTCGGGCAAGTAGATACTACGACAGAATTCACTCCTGCTGGCCGAATTACTAGTCCGTTCGCTGCGTTTTGCCTGTACAGTCAATTGTCGAGGTCCCGTGGTGACCCGAATATCTTCCGGATTGTATCCCCGAACATCAAATCTGACTTTGAAATGAAGCTGATTGATGAGTAAAGGGAAAGAGAATTTTGTTGAATATTGANCTGAGTGACCCAATTTTATGATTGCATCAACAATGTTTCTTAAAGAAAAAGATTTCCGTACCCTTGGACATCAGAAACACACGGTTTGCTGGAATCATCAGAATTTACTTATACGGTTTCCGAGTAAGTGGCAAACAAACTTGAAGAGCGTGGTATTCAACCGGACGACAGCAGAGCTGTCTACCACCAAATTCGGGTGGCGGTGGTGTGGCTCGAACCTCGGACTATAGGGCCCGAAGCACGTCGATGGCGGCAACTAAACCACTGAGCCACCACCACATGATAGTAGTGAAGGATTTAACCCGGTTATTGATGAATTTCATCGAGTTCAGTGCAAACGAAGCTTAGACGAAAAAAACTAGCAAGCACTCTACAGCTGTTTCTACGTAACTGGGTCACGTTAGCAGCGTGCATACATCGACNTCGTCTATACGTCCTGTAGCATGATCCATCCTTTCAAGCTTGTTGCGGGCATCCAACCCAGATCATCTCAGTCCTAGCCTAGGCTAGAAACATTCCACACCGGACTACTTTATACTCAAGAGTAGTGTTGGAGTTGATTGGATTATGTGGCGAATTTCGTGGTGAACAGAACAATGAAGAATGAACTGGTGGTGGTTTAGCTGCTATCTACCTGTGAGATAACCGGTTTTGCCAAAAACAGTTCCAGTGTGCACACCGCAACAAATAAGCATGGTAATCGGTTTATCAATCCATCCTATTGTAACTGGCTTTCTTACCCGACTGGCGGTGGTTGAACGGTTTAAGCTACCGTCCTGGAAGCTGATTGTATTCAACAATGATGAGATTACAGAAATAACATTTTGGGAGATGTTTGTTGTACTCCTTCCTACACTAACCTATCCTATAAATGAGTTATAATAATTGTGTAGTTTGTTAATATCCACCACTAGGATATCATTCATTGGAGTCTGAACTCCGCTCACTGTTTGCTGATCGTTTTATCAAACAATTGGAATAAACAACTATTTAATCCTTGCGTAAATCGTGAACACGCATTACAAACTTGGACACACGCCCAGTATTGATGTGCGAAGCAAACAGAACAATCGGACTTGCTTCATTAGAGTGCCGGAACAACCACATTACTGGTTCATTCGAAACAGTTCCAGTTCCGGTAAGTGGAACACAGTGGAAAGAATGGGTGTCAGGTTGATCTATTGCACGATCTGAATAGGAGTCAATCATAAATTAAGCCTGGACAGGTTCATCCTACCGGAATGTGCGGTACGTTCATTAGATCATGACTCAACCCGTGTGATCATGAGAAATGATTGATATACCGTTACTGTGATCATGCGGAGGAAAACAGTGGATGATATGTTCACCTTTAACGCATAAGAATTAAATGAAAAACTAAAGAAGATACTCAGTGGACAATTTTCATTTATTACAAAAACAATCTGGTAAAGCGCGTTAGTGCTGGATGAAGACCGTGTCAACAAGGATCTACTAAAGTGATAAAGAACGCTTGAAATAAAGTTTTGAACGGTGAAGGAAGGTTACAAAATAATTCAAATGGAGCTACCTGATATTTCGGTAAATAATGAAAAGGTAATAAACTCATAATAATAATAATAATAAAACGAAAAAGAGTAAAACTGTGTACTCATGAGTTTGAAAAACTGATATGTACACTGACCTTCATCGGGTGAAAGCGGAAAATGAAAACAAAAAGCGGTGGGAAAAAATGTAGGCAAGATCTCGGTCAAAACGGAGTTTCTATCATAAAAGAAGACAGGAATTAGGTTATTGAGACTATGAAGAAATGCTTCCATTTGAATAGTAACTGCTAGCCGATGCTAATAACTGATGACGCTGTGGAATCGTACGCAAAAGATAAGTGGGAGGCAAATCAGAAGGCGGAAGGTACATTGTATTGGAAGTCAGTAAATCGCATTCTGGGATTTGAAGTGGTGCAGAATCCCACTCCGGTGACTTGACTTTTGAGCTAGACGACAGTTAAACCGCAAAAGAGTGGTCCTTATGGTGGCTGACCCTTTGGGGAACCATGGGCACCATTAAAAGAGAACAAAAAAGTTCGAGTAACTCAAACCCATGCGCTGCCAACGATATTTTCTGACATTTGTATCAGTGATCTGCGGATCATGATGGTTCGTTTATTTTTGAGCAGTTTGTAGAAATGGATAATCAACTGAAACGCTAACAGGTATTGGTTCGAACGCGAAGTGCGACGTGGTGTTGGAGCGTCATGCAGATTTAAAGTTTTGATACCCAAACACTACAATATCTTCAAAATCAATCAGTTTTCCAAATAAAGCATGCTTTTTATGCCAAGTAATATTCATTCTCGAACTTTATTAATGGAAAACGACCGAATATTGTGGGCATTAGTTTATAACAACGGTACGATCTACCATGCCCTAGGCCGTAGGACTAGTGCCCTGTGAATTTGACATAATGTATGTTATTGTCACTTAAATGTGGTGCACAAAAAACGCCAGCATCATCCAAAGTGATAAGTCACGAGCATTGCTTTTGACAGCCTGAAAAGTTCTAGAATATTCTCGGTGATTGTATGATAGACGTCCATCACCGTATTGAGTTATCTGCACCGTCACACGGCTCTCAATAATTGTACAGACAATCGAAATACGTATTGATCGATTGATAGTTGAATGAATGATACAGTCAGCATATCACAACAGGTAGAAACAGAAAGACATTTGCTATGGACTAAAAGAACAAGTTAGCTTTAAAAAAAAGACATGATTCCGATTGGACTACGCGCCTCGTAGTGACTGGCAATGACGATGTAGGTGCGTGTGGATGTGAGTACGCAGATTTGAGCAATGGAAGTGTAAATCTTCCTTGTATCATACCAGTTGCGTTTGATCAATATATTAGAACAATAAAGGTATCGTATATCGGATCTGTAAACGAACAAAATGTGCGGTTAAAACTGCATTGGGATCAAAAGAGGGGGTTTTGTGTGCCGGAAAATTAAACTGAATGTAGAGAACAGCTTAGGATCTATCTACTGTGTACTGTGTTTACCAATCAAGGCAGACTGCAGTTAACATTATATAACAGACTGTGATCTCAAAGCCAAACAGACAGTTTTGGCTATTTCGAATTAGCTGTTATTTCGTCAGGTTATCAGGTGTGTATTTACGCAACCAGTCAGGTGATTGAGAAACCAGTTTTGGAGTACATCACAAAACATCTAATCCGTTCTTCTTCGTTCTTTTTTGCCTTATAATAATAATTATAAATAAGTTCACTTCTTTTGATTAACTGAACAGACAAACGGTACATTTTGGTTTCAGGAATAGGACTACGGGTAATCAAAATTAATGTGTGAAAACATCTGGGCTCAAAATGAAATCAGTCCTGTGAATCTGTGCTGTTTAATTGTCTCTTTTCTCCACTAGTGATATATATTTTGACGTATTGGCATAAAAACGAACTTGTTCGCCACTCTTTGTTTTATGAGGCTTTAGATGAAAGTGAGAAATTTTCTCAGCCAGAATGGGATTGTGCTTTTTATGCTGAAAAGGCACTAGCCAAAAATATATTTTTTCTCATTTAGGATGAATTGACTAACTTCTTTTTCTTTTTTCTTTATACACCTGAGTGTGATGAACAGCAAACGGAGCAAGCCCCACAGTCACAAGGACCTACTGTTCGTTGGTGGAAACTGGCAACCTAAGTCCCCATACTTGGAGTGGTGAACCACATAAGGCCCCCATAGATTGAGCGTGGTATTGACCTGGACGACAGCAGAGCTACCTACCACCAAAGTCGGGTGGCGGGGCTTGAACCTCGGATCCCAGGACCTAAATCACGCCGACGACAGCGACTAAACCACTGAGCCACCACCACCGTTTTTGTAGTTCAAGTGTACTGACATCAGATTGTTCTTGGAATCACATAAATAACTTCTGGCTTGTTGTTGGTCCGGACAAACAGCTATTAGCTAATCTCTGTTGACGATAAATGTTGAGACCACTTATCCACTATTACGGAATTTGATAATGGACAGCAATAAATCCTAACCGATTAATAAACTGGGTAAACGTAAACAATAAACATTACTTCGATTATCTGTTGAATTGGCACGATTTAAACACCTGCTTCCATCATCGAGTAGGGCCGAAAACATCATGGAAACTAAAATCTGAGATGAAAGTTTTCAAAAAGCTGGACTGACCCGATTTGCATGTAAATTCTATGACTATTGTATCGACATAAGTCCGTGTAAAACATGTACCTACTTGTTGTATGCGTTTGCAGCTAACTGTGGATATCAATGAATATGTTTCTGGTTATACACGAATAATGATTTCAACTTAATGCGAACAAAGCTAAAAGCATACTGTCATGTAATCAAACGAATCTGAGTTTGTCTTCGATTCGGTCCTAATTCGAATGGCCTTTTTTGCTAACTGATGACAAGAAGCAATGGAATCGAAAATGTTTGACACCCCCTGTTAAGAATCAACCACTTATCCTTTTAGTTCTGCTGGTTCTGCATTGATCCATGCATGCGTGTAGATACGCTATGTGTCACATGACCCAAAGCAGCTCTGCACGTGTGGTGGTTGTGCCTGATCGCACATTGACTGTAATCGGACAATTGGTTTGTTTGTTTCGTGTGTCTCGTGAATCGGTCCTCACAGTGGGATACAAAAAAAATTACAGTTCACATGCCAATGAGGAGGCGGTTTTGGCTACCACATTTACCAAGTCTAACAGTGGAGAAGTGATATTACGAATTCACAAAAGCTCAGAAGACCACCAAAATGTTGTAAACGGAAAATTCTATATTTCACAGGTGCTTACTCCCACGGGTGAATGCAGTGTTAGGTTAATATCACATTGGGCTGGAGGTTAAGAGTAAAATTGTTTAAATTTCAGCTAAATATTTATTTCCATGTTCCCTAGTAGCGCTTAACTAACCAATCCCCACTTTGTGAATGATATGTGGAGTATATAATGAATTTGCAGTCTAAGCGAGGCGAGAGCTAAAAATCTGAAGAGCACTGAACATCTGCTTCTACCTGGTTGGGTTTCATCAGTAGTGCGAATTCAGTCGAATCATCACCGCAGAGGCTATTGCTGAGATGAACGAAGTGCGATGCCCGCCACAAGCTCGCAAAGACGAGTTTTGCTTTATCGGGCGTAATTAACATTATCAGCTGCCCGTTGATCGTGTGGGTAGTATGCTTATGTTCTACCTGTGATGTTCGGATTCGATCCCCTGTTGGGTCGATGGACTCGCACTGTTGATAAGACCGGACCATTCAAAAACAGCTATCCGGTGATTCCGACGAAATTCACCATAACATCAATTACACCTTTGAGATAAATACAATTATGGATAGTCAACAATAGTTACACATGAACTGTTAAACAAAACCGGAACACACTACCGAATAATAAAAAAGCTTTAGGATATTTCCAAGGTAAAGTTTTGTCGCCAAAAGGATAAAATTAACTTCCATTCTTCATTATAAGTAAATTGCTTAACAATTCCCTAATCAAATTGTGGTCCAGTGGTTTAATTTCATTGTGAATTCGATTGTCGTTCTGAAAGGGTACTTCCCTCAAAACGGCGGGTGACTTTTACTGTTTCCTGTTGATTGCAATTCATCGTTTGCTGTACTATTTGCGTACGAAGGAATACAAAACACACCAAAATCTGCATCAAATGTGACTCACACGTCCGTCTTCTCCAGGTTCGTAGGCATTGTTTAGGAAATCGAGAAGACCGCCAAATGTTCTGTGGTCATCACCCGTCCCGTGCATATTGGAGAACATTTCATTTCGTAACATTTGCATTTCTCGATCCATACGAGCCAGAATCGATCCAACGTGATCAAATCCACCGAGGCGAAACGGTTCCCAATCGTACGATGGCTGGTTAGACCGGAAGAGCAAACATATTGTGGATTATTTAGAACCTGAACCAACGGCAAATTATATGGGTGTTTCGTTTGTTTAATGTATATTGATGCAAAGTCAATGCATCACGGCTGGGAACCTTTCGGTTTTTCGTATGCATCGGCGCTGAGGACCTTTTCTTCTGACTTATGGAACGTGGCAAAAAAAGGACCGGCACGTTATGTTATACTGTGTAGGCTGGAATCAGATATGTCCGTGCCAGAGATGATCGCTCAAATGGCTAGGCGTCAGATTGGTAGACCTGGTCGAACTCAAATTTTGTGCAAATTCACTCACGATTCATGATTTCTGGACCAATAATTCAGTTGCACCACCTTTTTGAAAGATTTCGGTACCAATGACATTTAAAACAACTGAATAACTTTGGCAACTTGATACAGAATTATCGAGCATTCACGAAGATCATTTTGCTGTAGGTTCTCTTGATACAAACATGGTCTTCCTGTAAAGCACGACAATCATTGGGCGAATGGTAATTTGTTCCAGATAACAATCAATGAATTTCGACCACTTTTGCGGTTTTTATTGTCTTCTTACTCTCTTATACAATGAATTTGGTCTTATATTCTCTCGCTGCCTCTAATAGCCAAGCGCAGATGGTATAGGGTAGTTGATGTTCAGTGGTTTACGCAACTTGCAATCTCCACCTTATATGAAACCGTTTAATCCCTAGTGCTAGTTGCTACCAAGTTGGTCAAAAGTGATATACTATAGTTAGGATAGTAACTTCAGTCGGTTATCAGGATATCGTCCTATACTCTTGCTGGCCGGATGGGCGAGTGTCATGTGCTGTGTTATTCTGATTGGTCCATCTTATCGGCAGTGTGTGCGCACTGAGCCCGTATACATGAGCAGTAAAATATTAGCCTAATATTTCTATAACAGATTTTCACTAGCAACGGTTCAATTCTACGCTGCTGGTAAAATCATGAGCGGCATTGGGGTTTCACCATCACAAAATACATTTACAGCAGTCTAGTCATCAACTTTGTTGTGCGTGGAGTTCCTGTCTGAAACACATGAGTGAAAGGAAATCGGCTACGGTTGTGGGAAACACAATGGCGATCAAACAATTAATCATATTGTTTGTTTCAGTTCTAAAATGTACAGTCACGTTACAAATACCCTGTTTCTACCGAAATAAGTTATTCGGACGATCGTGAATTTTTTCCCAGACCATTGACATAATCATGACTGATTGCAGTGTAAAAGGAACGGTTTGTTCCACATCATTGACCAGTCGCTGAAAATCAGTCATTCGATTGGCACAATATTTACATTCGTTACACGTACTGGTTCTGTAGCCACCAGCACAATTTCTCTATCCCCCACGTGTGTTCAAACCCACTTTTGTTTACTTAATTGTGTTTTTATAGAATACCAAAGAACTGACAAAAGCATTTCCAAGTATGAGTGTAAAACGAGAAAGTAAAAAGTTATAATTCGTCCTGCGTCCTAGTGAAGTCTAAAATTATGACAAAAGTATAAACGAAGGAGAGCCTTGCTGAACTTATATACATTCGTTTATGGTCAAGGGTGGAATATGTACTGTAAACGTTTGGGTGCCCTCGGAAAGAGGGATCAGTGGGCCCACCTCTACTGGCCACATTTTACCTAATTTTGCAGCTTTCTTTAACCGGTGATATGCTTGGCCTAGATAACATGCAAAACAAGAAGAATTACAGAATTAAAACAGCATCATCAGACTTTATTTTCATGATTTGAGATTTATGGAAATTAAAAATAAACTATTTCTGGCACCTCGTTCTGCAATTATTACTTTGCTTAAACATACTGCCTAACATAAGTTAAGAAGCATGTAAGTAATATAATAACAATTGTTTCATTTTAATACTGGTCGAATCATGCAGTGAAAATCTAGAGATAGGGGGAGCAGAATGAATAACTATTTATTGAAGGCTGATCCTTCGAACATTGTGTTTGTTCAGTCGTTTGTATATTCAGATTAATAATGAGGCGTGTCAATATTTCCTTTCATTAAAAATGCACCCCCAATGGTTATGATAAGAATGATTGAATATGAGAAATATTTAAATAAAGTATTACATTCTTTTCGTTTGATTTCTTATTGATTTGCAAAATACCGTGCATTATGTTTCAAAAACAGCAGAGCCACCTCTCTCTTGCATCAGGATTTAAAAGTATCCTATTTTTATAAAAACATTGAAGTATTAATCCTCAGCACTTGAAAAAACGACAAAGTGAATTACACGAAAATAACTACTATAGTTTGGAGCATATCAAAATATTATACTGCTCATTTTATGTGACACAAAAGCTGATGACTATATCAACTACTTTTTCCACTGTATGAAATTGGAAATAACTTTACCCCACTTATTTTTGATCAATAACATCCCAGTTCAGTTTAGTTTGTACAACCATTAACCATGCACTATCGTGAGCCGGTTTTGGTTGCTGTCTTTTGGCTACCCATTTGGACGAACATAATGAGGAAGACAGGATGAGGAAGACAGGAAAGGCTGAAAGTAGGATCAAGGAGAAAATTTAGGATTTCAGTGGACTAATGTTGCAGAGAACTTGACAAGATGCACGAATGCCATTGTTCGCGACACAGCCATATCACTCAGTGTCTCTAACCGTTGGGTATGATCATCCCGAGGTCCCCATTCAGGAAGCCTAGCGGGACCTGCGGGACCCAGACTCCTGGTAAGGGTTTTCATACTCTCATACCAGGTCTTAGCTTGATCTTCCTTAACTTTCTTCCACCCACTACCTGCCTCGGAAAATGTCGCTCGCCGTGTCAACCTATTTGGTGACATGCGTAACACATGCTCCAACCAACGTAATCTATGGAGGTCGAACATTTGCTCCAGTGGACGACCGCACTTACCTTCAACTCTGCCCCTAACCTCAGCATTGCTCGTTCGGCTGTCCCACCAGATTCGTGCACCGACGGTCTATCTTTGTCCTGTTTTCTTAATGGCACCATATAGCAGAACTGGCTGTACTACTGCAGCATACACTCGACCTCTCATATACAACCGGATGTCACGACGGCGCCACAGATGTCCTAAGTTGGCAAATGCCAATCGAGCCTTCTGTATGCGAGCAGACACGCTATCCGTGATGCGTCTACCGGGGTGTGATGTAGCTGCCCAAGTAACAAAACTTAGCCACTCGCTCTATTACTTCTCCAGTTAGGGTGAGGCTGGGTACTGGACCAACCCAGTCTTGCAGTAACATTTTACACTTTGAAGGTGCAAAACGCATACCGAACATGGTTACACTATCACTTAAACCATTCAGAAAAGCATGCAACTTACCTATATCTCCACTTAGTAGCACAATGTCGTCTGCATACCCTAGATCAGATAGACTGCCATCTGGGAGTAAATAGATGCCGCTCTCTTTGCACAATGATAGGGCTGCTTCTATAATCAGGTCTATAACAAAGTTAAATAGAAAAGGAGAGAAAGGGCAACCCTGTCGAACACCACTTTCCGTGGTGATCTCGGGCGGAAAAGTGCCGTAAGCTCGAACCGGACTTCGGCTATTTTTATAGAGGGATTGTAATACTGAAATTAGCTTCTCGGGCACACCTTTCAGAAAAAGGCAGCGCCAGAGTTTGGAGCGGTCGATTGAGTCGAAAGCCGCTTTCAGATTGAGAAGACGGAGAGAATAACATCCCAAGTGATTAGTGAACCCTTGGACGTATTTATAGCGACTTTATAGAATGTAAATAATAATTGTTCGGCGGCTCATATTTTGGTAATCCCAAAGTGATTCATTATCAAGTTTGATTTTAACTTCTATTATCAAAATGTTGAGTTGAAGAAGAGAAACTTCATGCAGTACACTGGTTTTTATTCACTTACTTGTAGTGAGGAAGGATATCAGCTAAACCAATGTGTGATCTCCGTATCACATGACAGCCTACCACCATCTGTGAATGCTTGTCACGAGACCCTGCGTTGTGAGGCCAACATTGGTTACCATAGTAACCTATACGTCCACTTATCGACCTGTAGATCGATTCGGTCAAGATAACTCACAGACAGGGTGAGACAAGACTGTGCATAACAAATAGGCTATTAGCATTGTGATGCGCTGATATGCATATTAGCCTGGCGCACCACACAATCAGACCCTGGTGAAATGTAACCCGGTTGGTGGCGAAAAGGACAGCGGAACAGAAACGTAATGGCAGTCTACCTGATCAGGAAATGTCTCAAATTTGTTAGTTTTGAAAAACGGCCTACACACAGGCTCGTACATAATTCGAAAAAAATAGCCTGTGAGACTCCACTGAAAATTTATATTCAACCAAATATCTAACTCTCGAAATACGTCATCGACGATCGATATTTCCCACATCCGTCCTGATTACGTTTGAGGGCCAAGCCTAATTGTGTGCTACCTTAAACTAGCACACATCAATCAATTGATGGGGCATTATATCTTGAGTCTCAGAATTTCCTATTGACGAGTGTTCGTGGAAATAAAGCTTTAAACAGAAGATGATTCACTCATTGCAAAAGTTTACATCCGTCTTGATCTTGATTCACCATGTAAGTATAGAAAAGCCCCGGGGACAGACTATCATACCAACGCGGGTTCACCAAGTCTAATGGTAATAAGCAAGTTAAACATGTCAAAAAAAAATTACGAATAAACAGCAAAAATCGACACCGATTGAATTCCGATGGGCGAAGCATTAGGCAACTGTTGAAAAATTATTGGAAATTGGTTCTCGTAGCTCGGGTGAACTGAATTCCATTTCGCCCGTTCGCCGAGCTTGGCAATTCGTTTGGCAGTCAGGAGATATGACCCACTATCGTTGATCTCCCTCCACGAATATCAAGATTGACATCAATTCGACTTCGAATCAGTGAGAATTATCGACCAAGCCCGGTCAAAACACGCCAGAGAATTTCTCGAAGCCTGGCACTCTTCAGTCAATTCAATAAACAGGCACATCAAACTGGACCACATGTACACACCAGTGCAACTCAAGGATCAAATGACACAACTCCACCACCGGCGGCTGACTTTAGCATTGTGGTTAGTTAAAACAGCAACCCGATTCTGATCCCTTCCATCTTATTGAAACAGGAAATACTGTAAACCTTATCGTGGATATACATCATCCAGGTGAAGCATGTATCATGTGTAGCTCTATCATACCTTGTATTTGGACAGTTTTCTGCACGTTATCCACATATTAGGCCTCAGATCATTTCTTAAGCAATTCTGAAATAGTTTTGCTCATCCAATCTTGGGGCTCTTATCACGTTGTCACAATAATTGAGGAAACTATCTTTATTTACAAACTAAAATGTGGTCCTGCTGGTATATCAAAGCTAACTGATTCGTGTATTCAATCCAAGTAACTAAAACTGGACCTTGAATGACAGCTGAATACTAAGCTTATAATTTTAAGCACGTAGCTTAATCAAAGATGATAAACGATCGATTAGGAATGGAGAGTGATTACGTACCACTAGAGATAACAAATCCCCATGCATTCGTCGGATGTCATCATTCCAGCGTTGATGAATATTCGCAATCCAACGGTTGATTTCCTGAAACCAATCCCGATTGAACATGCTCGATGGGGCCAGAGACCATCGACTCGGGTCACCATAATCGCGTTCTAAATCTGTCACGAAATCGCGTCGTCGTTGCTCCAAAGTACGCGAGTCCCGATGTACAGGCACGATCGCTCCAGCTTGCACTTTTGACATTGCAAGTGATACTCAGAAATGGTGACACTCACGGACCAGAAGAGTGTTATAGGAAAATATTTATATTGTATTCGATTGGTTTGTAACACGCCCACAGTTTCTGTGATTTGATTGGCTGATTGTTATCCAATCCATAGATGCGCCACGTGACGTTACACCGTGTGATATCCACACAGTTGACTTGCGCAGGTTGAAAACCTGTCTATCACAGACTATCAACAAATGAAAGCAAATTGAAATTCTGTTCTTTCGGAAAGATTTTGGCAATTTAATTTCTTCTGATTTTGTTTTTTGTTGGAAGTTTCTTAACTATTGCTTTTTGCAGTCAGCATTTCAAATGTTTTGTAGCCCTTAACCGATTCCAGCTCTTTTATCGTGCATGCAGTTAAGCCAACTTCTTCCCATTTACAAACGGTCATACTGTGCGATAGTTTTCAGAAAATCTCACTGATTATTGATGCCTATTGTTTCATTCACACCAGACTCCAAACCCTTCTTACAAAAATAAGCTGTCCGCATGCACGATCCACGGAATTTTTCACCACCATAAACAAAAATAAATGTCTTTTTACTACTTTTTTATTTATTGAATATAAAAATATACAGTCAACATTCAGGAAGGGGGGCTGCGGCCATAAAAGGGCTGCCTGGGAAGACGTGCGGTGGTGGAGCAGTTCGAACCCGGGACTCCCTCGTCACATGTTGGTAACCTAAGCACTTGGCCACCACCGCCCTAGTGTATGTCTGCCACTCGCTATCTTTTTCAAGCCTCATTATGTTCGGGCTTGTTTCTTCCTGTATCCTAATAGAACGGTGGATGGATTTCGATTAGTTTTTCACAAACTCAATAGGTGCCGTATTTGCGCTGCTTTGTGTATATTCAACTAGTTTTCTCACTTACAGTTCTGTACCCTCGGGGGAACATATTGTGTGTGATTCACGCCTGCATACATTTCAGTTGGTCTCTCTTCATGTTGCTTGTTATCCGTGATTTTGCAATTCTGCAGCACAGTTGTTTTACAAAATACATTACACCAATAGGTTCATATTTAATGGGATCCCATTTTCGAATCGATTTTGCCTCAGGTTTGTTTTCGTCTGGCCTCAACTGCTCCTTTCACGTATGTCAAGGATTCACTCTAAGGATGTACTGTCTCCATCAGCTGGACTATTTGGGAACAGAATTTTGTATCTTTTGAAATAACATTATTCCAAATCGACCTGTGTTAGTCGGATACCGAAGAAAAATATCCAAAGGATTTGAGTTTCGGTTTATGAGAACCCTGCTCGAAACCCGAAACATGGAAAATATGTAATAAATATGGGTTCAAACTGCTTCGTTGTGAGGTACTGTAATACTCGAATAGGAACCGGAATTGAACAGCGCGAACTTGAACTCGGACTGAAA